GATCGGTTCATAGGACCACCAAAGGACCACTACCACAGATTGAAGGAAAGATGGGTGGATCAAAGTCTGGAGACATTCCTGATGAAACCTTGATGGAGTCTTGCAGAGTTTTAAGTTTTTGGTTCGTCACATAAATTAACGGTAACTCTGTAAATGTTCTGTGTTCTGTGTTCGCTGCAGTTTGGCTCAGATTTCTCTCTGAACAAACATGTTTTCATTTATTCTGTTTTCAGGAAACTCGCCTGTAAAATGTGTGTGATTTTTTTATGAATGCAAAGCGCTGTTTGATTAGCAGGATGATGGAAAAAAACAAATCAGTCAGTAAAGTCTGAGCATAGATGGCCAACATTCAAATCAGCTATATAAATGTAAATCCAAACATAGCAATTATGCATTATGGTCCTTAACGAACTCAGCCACTGATTGTCAAACATTAGCTTATCGCTCTCAGAGCCAATCAGCGTTTCACAGGCTCTGCATGGATTACATTTAATGCACCGGCTGTGCTGGTCAGATGCCTGTGCTTAAAAACTCAATCACTCACATTCATTTACTGACAAGTCAACTCCTCGTCCAACTGTTTACAAAAAGAAAGCAAAACTCCCTCCACGTCGACAGGAAGTCCCTATAAATAAACGTTTTAATGAAAAACTGTAAATTCACCACTTTTTTTTTCTTCTGAACTGTCACAACAGCAGAATGTTTGATGGGAATAAAATGAAGTGGAAGAGCCTTCAGGCTTTTTTTTTAACTTCCTGCCTTTCATTAATGTTTTAACAGCCCTGTCCTGCAGACAGAAGGGAACTGTCATTAAAGCTCCAGCGTGAACCATTTCAGAGGATTTATTGCCCGAAATGAAAATATAATACCACCAGAGAGACGGGGTCTTTTCACACCCAGCCGGATGCTGCTTGTTTCATGTTTCATGCATGTTGGAGCACACTGAGATTATTTAAATAAATGTTATTCCTTTAATCCCAGAGTTTATATTATGTATAGAAACAGCACAGTTGTTGTTTGGGTCAAACATCAAAGCTAACGTTAGCTAACAGCTACTACCACACCAAACTTTAGCTCAATGTCTGTCCAGTATTAACATTTTAACATTTTTTTAGTGTTTGCTAAAGTTGCTTAGTTGTGGCGGCCATCTTAAATGCAARTAACTTAATTCTAAATATTGTTTTCTTGTTGATTTTTGTAAACAAATGGGTAAAAACATCCTTTAGGCGGCATGCTCTGAGTGCCAGCACTTCTTCTCTGTGCATCAGAAACAAAAGATCTTCCTCATCAGATCCTGGTAATGATTCAGAGTAACAGAAGATTCTGTCGTTCGGAGCTAAAAGCAGAATCACCCCCCCTCAATCTGATCAGCTGTGTGTGTTCCAGAGGATAACCTCGCTCTGATCTATTTTTAGCGTCTCGTTTAGAAGAAAGCAAAAGAAAAAAAGCTGCGAGGAGAAAACTGGGACAACACGCTGGGTTCAAACTGAAACCAGTCCAACTGTTCACACTTCATGCATTCAGCTGTTTTCTGTAGGTGGCGTGTAGATTTAGAGCTACGAGSCGAAACGAGCAGCAGCTGTTTGCAGTTGGTGTCTGATCCCTGACAGARTGGATCTGCAGGTGAACGCTGAGGGTTTGATGATGAGCAGCTTGATGTTAGCTTGTTTCTGCTCGACAGACACGCCCCCTCCTTCTGCATTAAACATGTGAAACAGTCTCATTATTCAGACACGTTTTTCTGTTGTACATTTTTCGGCACGTCACTCGTTCCGCAATTTTTGTCCTTTTTCAACAATTTATATATCAACATGTTCAGCTTCTTCAGGACATTCTAGCTATGAATTTTGGTACTTCAGCTATTTATACTTTTTGAGATATTTAGCTTTTATTGTCATGTTTTTCTCATTGAAAAATAGGGATTTAATTAATCAACAATTGATTAATAATCAAATATATTTGCTTAAAATCTTATTTAGAAAAATGAATCAATTTCATTACTGTATAACAGTAAGTTACACCTTTAAGACAAATTTTTGGACATAAAAGGATTTGTAACTTTTTTTATTGTGTGAATGAATATCAAATATTCTCATTATTCAGATCATTTTATCATTTTGTATGTTTTTGGCACGTCACTCGTTCCGCAATTTTTGTCCTTTTTCAACAATTTATATATCAAAACGTTCAGCTTCTTCAGGACATTCTAGCTATGAATTTTGGTATTTCAGCAATGTATACTTTGAGATATTTAGCTTTTATTGTCATGTTTTTCTCATTGAAAATTAGGGATTTAACAATTAATCAAGAATCAATTAATAATCCATTATATATTTGTTTAAAATCTGATTTATAAAAAGGAATAAATCTATTTCATTATTAACAGTAAGCTATTCCTTTAATACAAATTTGGACATAAAAGGATTTGTGACCATTATTGTGTGAATGCATATCAAATATTCTCATTATTCAGATCATTTTATTCTTTTATATGTTTTTTGACACGTCACTCGTTCCACAACTTTTGTCTTATTTTAGCAATGTATACTGTATATCAAAGTGTTGAGCTCCTTCAGGACATTCCAGCTATGACTTTTGGTTTTTCAGCAATTTTGACTTTTTGAGATATTTAGCTTATTTGTATAACAGTAAATTCTGTCTTTTGGACAAATTTGTTTTGATACTTGAATGTTGATGTRAAAACATACATGTCAAGTTGTTTGTATAATCCATGCAATGTATGTTAAAAGAAAATAAATGTATATTAATTATAATATATTGATTATAAAAAAGCTACAATTAATTTTGTTGGAAAAATATATTGTCATTGTAAACTCACTCATCGTAAAATGAAAAAGCTGTTTTCAACATGCTTAAAACCCTTTGCTATATTTGCTACATGCTATAAATCTTTACTGCACTTTTGATCTTTTTTTCTGGTTCTGCTTTTTTAATTCCTTTGTACTAATTTCAGCTTCCTTCCGCTTGTATTTTGCTGATTTTAGCTCTTTTTTTTGCTTTGTCAGCTATCATTCTGACTTTTTCCTGCTATTCTGCAAATTTCAAATTTTTGTGCTTCTTTCAGCTTTTTTCTGCTAATTTAATCTGACATCTTCTGTTTCAAATATCTATCTTCATGCRATTATACTCTCAACCATGTCGTACTGTTTACCWGTTTGGTCTCTTACAACAAATGAAATCTTAGAACCCATAGTTAGGCTCTACAACAGGGCCTACAAAATTCATAAAAAACTTCCTGGTTGGACTCATCACTGTACAGTTCTTTCATTGTCTGATGCCTTGACTTTTCAGAATTATGTTTTGTATAGTGGTATTAATTTATATTTTCAAATCTTCCAAGGTGCCAATTATGGAACTCTCTGTGCATTGTTGCCCAAATCAAATTCTGGAAGTGGTCATTCAAKTAGATCTGTTACAAAAGGACAACTGATATTACCAACTTTTAAAAACTGTTACGGCCAGAGGTCTTTCTTCTATGTTTATACTAAAGCATGGAATGACATTCCTCAAAACATAAAGTCCATTTCAAAACTACAGCCCTTTAAGAAGAATCTTGTCTGCCATCTGCTGGACACTTTTTGTTCTGCTCATATTTAGACGTCCTATTTTGCAAATGCTGCCTTTTWGAAATTTGGTATGCTTGTTTGTCTTTGTGTCTATGGTGTGTAATGATGTGATTGTGATGCTGTAATTCTGAGTGTTTTATGTGCTGCAGAACAGGAACCTGCTGTAAAACAGCAATTATGCTGAGTCAGGCTTGATTTTTAGTAATCTTTTCCTGTTAAATAAATCTAATCAAATCAATTTCAGCTGTTTTTGTGTTTTTAGCTGAAAATTTCAGCTTCTTCTGCTTCATTCAGCAAACATTCTCTTTCTGTTTTTTTATTCTATTTTTAAAGCTATTTAAAGACAAGTTTCAGCAACAAACTGCATTTTCACAGGAAAAACAAATTCTGTATTTGGACTGAAGTGATGATCCACTTCATCCAACGCCGGTCCAACAGGTTTAGCCTTCATTTAGCGTTAGCCTTTAGCTAACCCTCAGCCTCTACCCAGACCGAGCTGAACTCTAACCTCAGACTTRTCTCTCTGTTCTAAACCGTGACACAGTTTTCTGTCTTGAGTAATTTCGTCGCCCAGGTGTCTCAGAGTTTATTTTCTGCTGTAGTTTCATTCAGACGTCCATATGTGCCCGTATGACACACAGTCCTCCCCCCTGCTGCTGCTTCCTCCCACCYCTCAGCTGCTCATCACTAATGTTTCCCTTCGATCCGCCGCCTCGGCTGATGACCTCAGACTGGCTGTTATTAACGCGCCGATGTGGTCGAAGGTAACGACCGAACGTTTGGCTGAGGAGAGACGAGGCCCTGCAGCTTTAAGGATGCTGGCAGAAAACCTGAGTCTGTGCTTGTCGTTAAGGCTCCTCTGTTTACTCCATTTACCGGCAGAGACGAAGGGGGCGGGGAGGGGGAGGGGCAGGCCAGGTTCCTGATATGTATTGATCATGGGAGAGTACGCTTCAGGGCGGGTTCAGCCGTGACACGAGGGGTTCAGAGCGTTCATGGTGTTCCTGCTGAACTCTGTATGCTTTTATGTTTCATCAGGTCACAAACAAACAAAAACAAACAAACAAACAAACAAACAAACAAACATGGAACAAAGAAAAGGTGAAGGGCACTGTCCGGCCTGTGAGCAGCAGGTGGGATTATGGGTCAAAATAAACAGGATCAATCATCTCTTTCTGTTTAACAGCCCTGTTATCGTCTCTTTATTTAATAAACTTATTATTTATCATTTAAATTATTCAGATATTTATCTGTACTCTGATGTTAATAAGTTTAAATGTTCAGTTTGAGAGGTAGAAGAGGCCACAGTTAACACAGAAATGTCTGAAATGTTTGAGAATGCTGCCCTCTTGTGTTTAAAGCCTGTAACTGCAGATCATGTTTTAAAACCTTTTATTTTTTGTTTTGTTTCAGGTTATGGACACATTATCCAAACTTTCCCACACAAGTATTGCACAACAAACAGGAATCAGGTACGTTGAAGTGAAAACAACAAACAACAGAAGAGTAAACAGGTCCAGTTTCAGATCAGCTGTGAGAAACTGAGAAACTGTTGAGATTAAATTTAAAGTCTTTAAACCTGGTAAAGACCAGATCAGTTCTTTTTTGAGTCCTGATACAGGAATAAAGGAGGTGGACTTTATATTTCCTGTTAAACTGATAAAAGCTGATGTGTTTTCTTCTTCCAGYCCGTTTCCTACAGAGGAGAGCGTCGAAGACGAGGACATCTACAACCACCTGGAGGACCTGATCGAGTACGTTTCCTCTGCTTCACAAACATGATCACCGACTCTAAAAACTCTGTGAAACATCTGAGTGATGTCACAAGAAACAATGAACAGTTCGTTTAGTTCATTCAGACTCCAGTTTTCTTACTAAATGAGCTGCTTGTTGTGATAAAGGAGCCATTTGTTCCCTGGGTGTTGACTGGCAGGCAGCCAGCAGAGTCAGCTCAACACACGWTGTGTGGGTTTGAGCTTTAATCACTTGTTGTTCAGTCCTCCGTGTGACACAAACCTTTTAGTTTTTTTTCCACTTTATCTAAACCCGTCCACTCATCCATCTGCTGTCTGTGGTCCTGAAAGGAGACCCAGACCCTTCTGAGCCCGACTCAGGTGGACCCCAGTCACCCAGACACATCTGAGAACTGGACGGCACCAGGAGGACAGATCCTCCTACAGAAACATCACCTCCACTCAGCTGTCCTCTACGTCTTCAGCTGTTAGCAGCCGACACCACAAACCACCCTCACACTCTTCAAAATATTAAAATATAAATAAATATATAAAAATATTAAACTATATTTACCCTATTTATCATAGAAATACTTTTTAAAGTTATTTTTAAATATTGTTCTGTTAAAAATTCAGCTTCAGGCTTGATTTTTATGTTTTGTTGATACTTTTAGCTACATTGTTGCTTTAGGCTTGCCTTTTGCTACTTTTAGCTTTAAGCTACTGCATGGCTACTTTTAGCTTTAGCTACAGTTTTGCTATGAAAAGTTTTAAACCTAGCTTTTTGCTACTTTAGCTTTAAGCTACTACATGGCTACTTTTAGCTTTAGCTACAATTTTGCTATGAGAAGTTTTAAGTTAGCTTTTGCTACTTTTAGCTTTAAGCTACTGCATGGCTACTTTTAGCTTTAGCTACAGTTTTGCTATGTGAAGCTTCTAGTTAACATTTTTGCTACTTTTAGCTTTAAGCGACTACATGGCTACTTTTAGCTCTAGTTACAATTTCGTTATAAAAATGTTTAAAGCTAGCTTTTTGCTAATTTAACTTTAAGCTACTGCATGGCTACTTTTAGCTTTAGCTACAATTTTGGTATGAGAAGTTTTAAGTTAGCTTTTGCTACTTTTAGCTTTAAACTACTGCATGGCTACTTTTAGCTTTAGCTACAGTTTTGCTATAAAAAGTTTTAAACCTAGCTTTTTGCTCCTTTTAGCTTTAAGCTACTACATGGCTACTTTTAGCTTTAGCTACAATTTTGCTATGAGAAGTTTTCAGCTAGCTTTTTGCTACTTTAGCTTTAACCTGCTACATGGCTACTTTTAGCTTTAGCTACAATTTTGCTATGAGAAGTTTTCAGCTAGCTTTTTGCTACTTTAACTTTAAGCTACTGCTTTACTACTTTGTTTTTAGATGTTATTTGGCTACTTTAGCAAATATTATTTTTCTTCTAGCTTGTAGCTACTTTTGCTATGTATGCTAGATTTTTGCTACCTTTGCTTGTTATTCTACTTGTTGTTTTTGCTGTCATTTTTAGCTACTGCTCTGCTGCTTTTAGTTTTTTAGATACTAAAATGCTACCTGCTTTTAGATGGTATTAGCTCTTAGCCAACCTTTTGCTGTTTTGGTTTCCAGCTAGCCTTATGACACTTTAATAGCCTTCTGCTGTTTTAACTTTTAGGTTTTGCTACTTTCAGCCAGTGTTTTGTTACTTGTAGCTTTTAACTAGCCTTTTGCTACTCGTAGCCTGTGCTTTGCCACTTTAAGCTATGAGTTTAGTGGTTTTAGCTGCATGTTTTAGCCGTTTGTGACGTGACGCTGCGACCCGTCTGCTGCAGTGAGAACAGGGTGGAGGATGAGGAGGATCTGTACGACTGCGTGTACGACGATGAAGAAGGAGGAGAGATCTACGAGGACCTGATGAAGACGGAGGCCGTCCCTCCTCCGGTGTGTGAGCTTCAGCCGTCCTTCAGATTAGATTTCATTTAATCAAACATTAAAATCAGCCGAACCTGCTGCCAGTGTTAGCGGGGCGTTGAGCCACAAATAAAACCACGACAGGAGTTGGTCAAACCAACAGAGAAAACCTGGTTTTTAGCTGAAAGATCCTGGTTAACCTGAAGTCGTGTTTGTAAAAATACATTTTCAACAACAACAACAAAACAAACTGTACAACAAGAGCCGAATGACATTCCTCAGATTAGCTGAAGAAGCTGAAACTGAGGCTAAAGGCAGCAGAACACTAAACTAAAGCAGTAGAACTTTAGCAGTAGAAAACAGATCAGAGACTAAAATTAGCTCTATTAATGCTAAAGCTGAAATTAGCACAACAAGCTAAACGTAGCTGAACTGTGGCTAAATGCAGTGATAAATAGAACAGTAGGTAAAAGCTAAAAAGAGCAGATATGCTAAAGTAGATGACGAAGAGTTTTCATTTGTTTTTATGGTATTTTTGTTTGTAAATGAAGTTAAACGTTAGAAAAAGTCAAAGTCGCAGCTCTCAGAAAGTTTTAAAATCTTTAAAATAGCATCAAAAGAACAAAACAAACATGTTCTTCAATGTAATTTCAGTGTGCTCTGTACAATGACAATAAACGCATGATCAATCAATAAATCAATACGATATATCGCCATATATCACGATACTGGAAGCAAAGTGATTTATCGACATTGTTTTTCTGAAAATACTTAAAAACCTTATATAATGAGTCACAATGCTAATGTTTGAGCTAACGTTTATCTCTCTGGCTCTTTAGCCTCAATTAAAAATCAAAACGATGCTTTAGAGAATCGATACATCGAGTACCAGGAAGTGAAATATTTCAGTTGCTGATACTCGATGTATCGATACACTGAAATATCGTGATATTTCAGTGTATCGATGTTTTCTTACATCGCTACAGTTAGTTTGTCTTTTTAGGAAAGTCAGTAAAAAACACAAAAGTGTTCTCTGCTCAGAGACTCACACTGTGTGTGTGTGTGTGTGTGTGTGTGTGTGTGTGTGTGTGTGTGTGTGTGTGTGTGTGTGTAGGCGTTTCAGAGGCAGGCAGAGACCGACATCAGGAGCTGCTGTTTGGCTGAAATCAAGCAGACGGAGGAGAAATACACCGAGACTCTGGAGTCTATAGAGAAGGTACATAGAGACCCCCTCCCTGTCCCGGGTCCAGGACCAGCTGAGACCCGGGTCCCTTCATGTTCTGGTTAAACCCCAGGAGGACCAGGCTGGTCCTGCTGACTGGATGATGTCATCATGTCGATTAATGAAGATCCTGTTAGAGGTTTTCAGTTCTGATGGTCCAACAGAGACTAAACCTACAGTCTCAGGTGGACCAGGTGGACCAGGTGGACCAGGGTCCAGTTAGAAACCAGAACCTGTAGTCTCAGGTGGACCAGGGTCCTGTTAGAAACCAGAACCTGCCGTCTCAGTTGGACCAGGTGGACCAGGGTCCTGTTAGAAACCAGAACCTGTAGTCTCAGGTGGACCAGGGTCCTGTTAGAAACCAGAA